AGCAGGGAGCCCGATGCGGGACTCGATCCCAGGACCCTGGGATCATGACCTGAGCCGAGGGCAGACGCTTAACGACTGAGCCACCCAGGCGCCCAACCCCTATCTTTTTTTTTTTTTTTTTGAGATTTTATTTGCTTATTTGACAGAGAGAGACACAGCGACAGGGAACACAAGCAGGGGGAGTGGGAGAGGGGGGAGAAGCAGGCTTCCCGCTGAGCAGGGAGCCCGACGCTGGGCTCGATCCCAGGACCCTGGGATCATGACCTGAGCCTGAGCCGGAGGCAGACGCTTAACGACGGAGCCACCCAGGCGCCCCCAAAGATGTTTATCTTTTTTAAGGAATCCCTACACCCAACGTGAGGCTCAAACTCTCGATTCCGAGATCAAGAGTCCCATGCTCTTCCGACTGAGCCAGCCGGGGGCCCCCGGATGCTTTGCTCTAAAAGGAACTGCCAAATTGCCTCCCACCGCGGCTGTACCGTTTTCCATTACCACCCTGCATATTTTTACAGCACGTAATTGAAATTTTTTACAAAGCAACATTATTTTAAGACACATTGTTAACAGTTGTTTCTCTCTTCTAACTATATTCTTCTAATGGAATCACCAACATAGTTATTCACAGTTTTACACCCTACACATTTATTTTATTGTATTTATTTATTTTTCCACGTTTCATTGTGACTTTCTTTCCCTTAGCAATCGGTCTTTGAAAAACCTCCCACGTCAGTAAACAAATGCCTAGCTCATTTCTTCTCTGACCGCGTGGTATTTGACAGCATACGTGTACCGTCATTTACATAACGAGTCCCCAGCTGATGGTACTTTTACCTTTTCTCGCTCTCTCTCCCCAATTCACCTTGGCGCTGCAACTTCCCACTGTGAACGTGTGTCGATCTCCCTCTAGGATAACGACCTCTAAGTGGAATTGCCAGGTTCAAAACCTACGGGCCTTTAAAATGTTGAGAGACACCAAGGAATTGCCTCCCCGAAAGAGGCACACTGGTCCTACACGAGGGCTGTTAGTTCTTTGTTACGTATGTTGCAAAGATCTTCCCTCAGGGTGTCTCTTGCCTCGAAAGACTAGGCTTGTTGGTTTGGGCTGTCAAGAAGTTGCGCACTTTTTTTTAGGATTTTATTTTTAAGTGATCTCTACACCCAACACGGGGCTCGAACTTACAACCCCGAGATCCAAGAGCCGCATGCTCTACCGACTGAGCCGGCCAGGCGCCCAGAAGTTAGACCTTTTTAGATAACCAAATGTATTAAATTCTCAACTGATGATTTCTGGGTTGCGTATCTTGGGCACAAAGGCCTCCTCCCACGTGTGAGGACCGTGAGGAGACTCGGGACAGAATTTACGAGTCCCTGTTGCCAACTCCTCCGTGACCCAGGCCGGCAGGTTGACCCGCTGGTCCAATCCCTGTGGCCCTGGACAGTTGGCCACAGGATCCGGTGCTGCCTGGCTAGGTCCGGGCGGGGATGGGGGTGTGGGGCTGGGGGCTGGGGGCGGTGCCGCTCTGACACCCAGCTGCTGCCGTCCAGGGACGCCAGTCCAGTCTGAGAGAAAGGCAAGGAAATATGTAATGAGAAAAGGTTCGTTACGCTGTTTAAATGCATAGGTGGCCCGCAGGTAAGCAAGAGGCGCCCCTGAGGAAGCAGAGCGAATGAAAACAGAGGAGGGAGCAGGGATGCGGCTGGGGCTGTGTGCAGGGGCTGCCGGGTTGGGTTTCCGCGGTGCTAGGAGTAAGGGCTTTCAGAAGGTGAGAGAGCAGAACGGAGATCCCGCCTAAAATCAGTGTTCTTGGGGCGCCTGGGTGGCTCAGTCGGTTGGGTGCCCGCCTTTGGCTCAGGTCATGATCCCGGAGTCCGGGGATCGAGGCTCCCGTGGGGCTCCCTGCTCGGTGGGGACGCTGCTTCTCCCTCTCCCTCAGCCGTCCCCCCCCCACCCCCCGCTTGTGCTCTCTGGCTCTATCTCTCCGTCAAATAAATAAAATAAAACCTTTAAAATAAATAAGTAAATAAATAAAACCAGTGTTCGTGAAGGGCGACCTCGGCGGGCCGAAGGAAGGACAGGGATATAAAAAGAAGTGGGTCTGAGTGAGCGGGGGAAGAACCCTCCCACGCCAGTCCTAGTATCCACGGAACAGGGGCTGCCTTCCCCCGGCTGGCTGCAAGCTGAGGGGCTTCAGTGAACCCCCGGCTGAGAGAGGAACTGCCCCCCTCCACACCCCCACCACCCCCATCGTGGTAGTCCTGCTGGGCTCCTGGCAGAGCAAACCCACCCTCCCTGGAAGAGGATACCTCACCCCAGGCTTCGCTCACCCAGGACTCCCCGGGGGGCCCAGCTGAAGATGGGTCAGTGACCTCCAATTGAAGACACCGCCCACGCTCCTGGACAATCCGCAGGTCTGTCAAAGACAGGACTGGCCCTACCGACATTCCCCAGGGTGTGACTCTCAGAGGCCAGAGGACGTAATTTCGGTAATGGCCGTGAGTGTTTGCCGTGGGCCTAGACTCCCCCCATCCCATCCTCCGGGAAGCCCTAGGAGGCTGTTAGCGGTGTCAGCCCCATTGTCCAGGTGAGGAAATGAGGAAAACACCACAGATGGGTTGAGCGGCTTCTTCGGAATCACTTGCTAGCAGGTGGCTGAGGCAGGGTGCGGATCAAGGACGTTGGGCTTCGAGCCTGACCCCCTTTTGTGGGCTATGCTCTACAGTCTGGCTCGCTCCCTCATTTGGAGATTCCTGGGGCACGTGTGGCACATCAGTATGTCCTGAAGGCATGAGAGGTGAGCCCAGGTGAATCTCCCCCTGGCGGGCCTTGGGTCAGCACACAAAAAAGGGAGGAGGGTGAGAAAGAGAACCACCTTCTGCTCTTGGGCTTCATCGTGGGGGTGGAGAGGTGCGGGGGCGGGGGGACTTCGAAACAGGGACTGGCATTACCTTTGAAGTCTCATGAGATCAGAGAGCGGCGCTCACGGATATTTACGTATCGTTTGCATTGCTGTGACAGAAAGCTACTCCGACTCCCCAGATCTTCGATAGCCTCTGAGATACAACAACAGAAAGACACAGGAGAAGCATTCGAGTCCCAGACCAGGATGGAGTCCCGCATGGGCTCCCGGCTCAGCGGGGTGTCTGCTTCTCCCTCTGACCCTTCCCTCTCTCGTGCTTTCTCTCTCTCGCTCTCTCTAGCTCTCAAATAAATCAATACAACCTTTATATAATAATAATTAATAATAAAATAAAAACAAGAAAAGCGTCCAGGCAGGTTTGAAAAAGAACTTTAGAAGTAAGGAAACACCGTCATTGAAATAAAAAATCCCAACAGATGGATGAAATCACAGATAGGTGCCGCTGAAGAAAAGATCAGTGACCTGGAAGATGGTGCCTCCGAAATTACCTCCTGCCCTGTTTCCCCTCCCGGTGGATAATGTGGTTTCCTCCTTCCCTGAGAAATTGCAGCAGCCCCTCCTCAGACGTCCAGGCTCTGGCTCTTCAAGGCCCCCTCATCCTGGCTTCCAGGCTCCTGGTGA